GGGGGGGGGGGGGGGGGGGTTGGATGGAAATCACAATTGGGGATCTGAAACTAAGAAAACGGATTTTATATATATATATATATATATATAAAATTAAAACACAGCTCTCCAATTATTTGGACATAATATCCATGGTGATGTCTCTATTTGGAGAAAAAAAATTGTGGATATGCGATTTGAAATACAATCCTAACTGCCACTTCACTAAGATCCATCCCAATTGGTGCATTTTATCTTTTGGATGCAGTAACGATTAATGGGTTAGTTCACCCAAAAATGAAAATTACCCCATGATTTACTCACCCTCAAGCCATCCTAGGTGTACATGACATTCTTCTTTCAGACGAATACAATCGGAGTTATGCTAAATAATGTCCAGGCTAATCCATGCTTTATAATGGGAGTGGATGGTAGCCCAAAATTTGAAGTCCAAAAAATTGCACCCATCCATTATAAAAGAAGTCCACACGGCTCCGGGGGGTTAATAAAGGCCTTCTGAAGCGACGCAATGCGTTTGTGTAAGAAAAATATCCATATTTACAACTTTATAAATCTTAATCTCTAGCTCCCGCTAACTGTCGTGCGCGCGTTCACGAGAGACTGGCGTCCAGCGGATGACGTAGCACGTAGGAAAACGCAGTGACGAACACGGAAGCGCAGAGGAGAGAGCAAAACAAAACACCGGTCACAAATTAGTAGTACAAAACGAGGATTTGTAAAGAAAAATGTCGGAGGATTTCGATATAAGCCAAGAGGACACTGGTTTGCCATTGCCGTATAAACAAAACTTGTTTCTTGCGAGACTAGCATATTCTCACCGGAGCTTATGCTACATCATCCGCTGGACGCCACTCTCTCGTGAACGAGCGTACGACAGTGAGCGGAAGCTAGAGATTAAGGTTTATAAAGTTGTAAATATGGATTTTTTTTTTCTTTTATAATGGATGGGTCAGTTTTTTGGACTTCAAATTTTGGGCTACCATCCTCTCCCATTATAAAGCGTGGAATAGTTTGGACTTCAAATTTTGGGCTACCATCCACTCCCATTATAAAGCGTGGAATAGCCTGGACATTATTTAATATAACTCCGATTGTATTCGTCTGAAAGAAGAATGTAATATACACCTGGATGGCATGAGGGTGAGTAAATCATGGGGTCATTTTCATTTTTGGGTGAACTATCCCTTTAAAAACTGTTGAGACTGCAAATCAAAATTGACCCACTTCAACTCAAAGGAAAAAAAATTTTTTGAAAGTGATTACAAGTGATAATAGAGTAATTGAACGGAATAGTTTGAAACGTTTCTACAATGCATTCACAATATTTCTGCAAACTGTTGAAACTAATCACTACAAAAATGACATCAAGCTAGTAACATTAATTTATCTTAAAGCAAATGTAGGTTCTTTTCTTGATATTATACATATTTCTTTTGGAATGAAGCCTGACAGTTTTGGATTGGAAAATGTGAAACTCTTCGGTGTACATTGTTTCAACATTTTTGGGTAATTTCCTTCATAACTTTATTTTAGGAAAGAGCAAAAGCTTATTTGAGAGAATTGTGGACGGCAACATTTGCAAAGGTGGGATAGGTCAATGTTTTAGGGTGGGGCAAAGGGTCAACTGTAACGATCAACTAGCCAGAAAGAAAAAAAAATCATTACAACCACCCTCCACCAAAAAGTTGTAAGAGTATAAAAAAATAAGTTACACATTCAGCTTTCTTAGTGGTATCACTTCATTTATACCCAGAGAAAAAATATGATTTGCTAATTTAATGGGAAAAAAATTTCTATAAAAAGTTAAGTGACTGCAGTAGTTAATGTGAAGTTAGTTGAATTAAATGTGTGCACCTAAATGTTACATGTAAGATACTTACCATTACAATAATTAATCTGTTCCTAAACCGCACACCTACGTATGAAATTTATAATGCTTGCCTTAAAGAAATACCTTGAAATGTAAAAGTATGTGGCCAGGTGTTGCATTTTGTGGTGGCGAGTGTGCACTTGCAAAACACCGTATAATTTGCCTCAGGATTTAGACAAACTAGTTAATGTGAGAACTAGTGTGCATGCTAGACTACGACTCACATGTACAAAAATGGAATGAGGGACTATAGAAAAATAGACACTAATATGGACAAAATCTTGAATAATTAATATGAAACAAACCACAACAACCCCAAAGAAATGACACAGGAGGCAAGAAATTGACACAAGTAATAAAGGCTAAAGCACTCCAATACCATTAAAATTGTTTTAATGCTGTTGCAGATAAAACATGCAACAATATCACCTCATAAAACTGAAAAATATAAAGAAAAGAATGACTTGAGAACCCCTAATGATACAAGCTATGAGTTTCCCTCGACTCCCTGAGATTATTGTGCATTGTTGGTGTTGTGTGAATATCACATTGTTGATCAAAACGGGAAGAAGCATTGTCATGCACAGATTAGAAAAAATATTGAATTAAATTAAAGTATAACCTCAGCTTCAATGTATAGCTTCCAGAATCTGCCCGAACTGGGAAACTGGGCGACAAGTCGCTCATATGTCTTCCTTGCTTTGTCTATGGGTTGATTCTAAAAGAAGTAAAATTCATTTACATACAGAATCATATGGTACGTCCCAAAGACCGTTTACATGAGATAGCATCAGATATGCTGTCAGAGACCCCCGTTCCCTCCCAAATCACGTTACCCCAGGTAAAAAAGGAATGCAACCCTGTGTCACTAAACCTGTGCTTCACGAATCAGTATGCTCCAAGCGTCGAGGTCATATGGATTTTCTTCCAACTTCTTCTCTGCTTTCTTCACCTTCTCTGGGATGTACTCCGCCGCCTGTTGAGGGAAATAGAAACGTGCGATATGAATGACATGTGCAACAGGTGACACTGGGGAAATGAGAGTACATATTCATATTTTGGACATATAACCACTACTATGTTAATGGTTCTCAATCTTTGCCATGAAGTATTGCAAATCTCTCAAATTAAGTTCATGTCTTTGAAACTCTACTAATGATAGAAAACTGACGCTATAAACCAGGTTGGTCTAATAAAAAACACAGGTAGGGACTGTGCAATACTGAGGACTTAAGGTTTTAAATCAACCAAAAACACGTTTAACAACAGAGCTCCTAGTTGAAATACAACTGTTGCCAAATACAAAAGCTGCCTTCATAGAGAACATTTTCACACCAAAAGCCAACTTATTTTAAAAACCTCAAGGATAATTAAAAGTCTCGTTGTTCACTCAGCATCTTGATATCAGTGAATAACTAACTCCGAGTGAAAGTAACGTTAACAAACAATGGCATCGTGGTGTTGCGCTGCAGTCGCCATTCACCTGAGCAACAGCATTACGTCAACGTTTCTCTATTCTACTACCTCCTCAATTTCACTTATTACAGTAATGCAAAGCAAACGCTGCACACACACTCGACGCATTCTACGATAGACGTGCTGTAAACACGTAAACATCGACACAACAGTCTGCTTCAGAAGCGATCTCAACAGTTAGGCCGCAAACACGAGCACTTGATCTCAAACACTCCACATATCATATGTCTTTACTTTACCTGGTCCGGAGGAGTTTCGGTGGACATGATGGAATACGAGTGCGATCCGAGTAAAGAAACGTCGACTGCTCAACTATCCCAAATAAACTAAGCGCAGACCGTGATTATTGCAGCATTGTTTATTTGTGCAGACTCTTTGTGCGGCCGCTCGCCTCTCACCGCGCATTAAATGGCAGCAATGCGAGCGGAGACGTTGCGCCACGCCCACCGGAAACGATTTACTTCAAAATAAAAGCCGCTAGAAATCGAATCGACTGCTCGTTAATAATAATAATAATAATAATAATAATAAATTCGAAATATGGTTATGCATTGAAGGATGAAGCCTTCTTAACCCATTTGTGCCCAATTTGTTTCTGAATGGTTTCATGCATATAGTCATATTAATAGTGTCCTATGTGAAAATGTTCTGCATTTATTTTCCCCAGGTTTTAGTTTTTTTTTTTTCTTGAAAATCGTATTTGAATGTGCGGCAACTATATTTGCCGGTGGACAAATATGTTGTATGCACCCCTTCAATGTACAAATGTTAAATTGTTGTAATTTATGAACAATTTGGAATACAGACTTAAGGTTGGTCTCTTTTTAAAGAAGAAAATCTGTAGATTATCGCAAAAAATGGAATTAAAAAAAAAATTTAAGTATCAAAAAGTTATGGTAGTTTAAATTTGCTGTAAAGAAAATACTGAAATAAATAAATAAGTTATGTTCCAAATTTGAAGTTGACATGAAAAAAATTGAGGTTCCTGTGAGATTTTATTTAGGGCGTTATACCGTCAAACAGCCACCGGGTGCCATCCAAACTCCATTAAAAAATGTTAATGCATTTTTCTGTCACAAATGTCTAGGTTTCTCTGTCAATATTACTTCTATCTCAAAATACCACCAGATATGGAATCCTGAGACTCAGACCTTTCCAATTATATGTTTTTGTCAAGATTATAAAAAGTTTTGATTGTAAAAGAGCGTAATGCATTTTGTAATATGACACTATCTTCTTTTGTGCTCAACAGAAGAAAGAATCTCATAGGTTTGCAACTTGAAGATGCACAATGATGTCCATTTTAGGGTGAAATTTCCCTTACATAAGCAGTTTTAGTATAAGTAGCCTATAGCCTACAAGGAGTACTGCAGTGAAGGTACAAGTAGTTTTATAAATTTACATAAACATATTTGCATACTATACTTTGTGATGTAAATATGTAAAATATCACATATTTTATGAATAGGCACATATTGATTAGGTCAAATGGATTAACCCCGACAAAAGTCCTTGATATTAATGAAATTAATGATATTCTTTTAAAAATATGTTTATATATTATATTTGCTATTATATTATATTTATTTGTTTATATATTTTGTTTGTTTATTTATTTACTTATTATTGGACATTCTTAGAGGTGTGTTAGTTAAATGAAAATAAATAAATAAAAATAAATAGAATGAAGGAAATATTACATCTACAGGTGCATCTCAATAAATTAGAATGTCGTGGAAAAGTGTTGAGATAGTGAGTTGGTGGGTTTTTGTTAAATGTGAGCCAAAATCATCACAATTAAAAGAACTAAATACTTAAACTACTTCAGTCTGTGTGCATTGAATTTATTTAATACACGAGTTTCACAATTTGAGTTGAATTACTGAAATAAATGAACTTTTCCACGACATTCTAATTTATTGAGATGCACCTGTATATAATAAAAAAAGGTATACCTGAAAGAAAATTACGAATTTTTTTTTAGGCCCAACTATAGTTGCCGCTTGGACTTTTGACTAAGTATACAAAAAACTATAGATCTCCTGGATTTTGTTTGGATGATTCTATAGACCTTCATGATTATCTAGATATATATATATATATATATATGTCAACAAAAAATACTTATTAGTAACATGAAAATTAAATTTCTTTGGGAGGGTTTGCCTTCATGCTTCCTGGAAGTAGGGGTAGGAACTTGACAGCCTCATGTGACAGGAAGGAAGTGAATACCTTTTTTTTCCTTGAAATCCTTTATTTGGTTGTTTGCTTGCATGTCATTGAGAAATAAAACATGGATAACATCTAGAAAAATACTTACAAAAGGAAAATGACAACTATAACCTGCGGCAACTATAGTTGCCACTGGGCTTAAATGGGTTTTAAAAACAAATGTATTCCTTGAAGTTAGTTAAGTAGGCCTATGTGTCATGTTTTAAATCACTAGCTTGTTTGGAAGGGAAGCTATTTAGGCTGCATTTACTATTATACCTGTCATGTAAACAGACAAAGCTGCATAATACACTTTATACAAATAAGTACACATAAGTAATCTTATTTACTGTTCATTAACACGAACTGCATCTATGTGTTTATGTATTGTCGAAATCACTATTTTGTAATACAATAAAAATATATTCCTGTAAACAGTGAAATATATTCATCTAATATGCCACTATTCAGTCAGGTATAAAGTATTCCAGTACAACCAATGTCCATGAAATTGCATTTTCTTTTACATTTTGTTTACAAATCGATTAAATATCACATTGTCAGACGATTTAATAAGTATATGTGACCCTGCCTGTGAAAACCTAGTCTAAAAATCTAATTCTGAGATAACGAGCCTCAAAGTTTGATTTCACCTATTAATTTCATTATCATTTCAATTTTTAACATGGTCTTATTCAGTCAGTGTTAAAGATATCAAGTTTGTATTTTCACAGAATGTTCTGTACATTATGTAGGACGATTTTATGTAGAAAACAGTCAATCTCAAAAAAATGACTTTAGCTGGGTTTTCACAGGCAAAGTCACATATTTAAAAAAACAAAACAATCATATATACAGTATACATGTGCGCTCCGTTCCCACGGCTCTCGGCCCCGCCCCTCTCGTCACAACATGTATGTGCATTCCTCAAGCAGCAGTCTGAATTCCACGAACATTCCATTAGAACGTCTGTCAGTATCAGCATCACACACTGATGATGTCACAGCCAGTGCACTATTAATGAAGCTGCAGGAGTCCATGAGCCACATTCATCTAGAAATTGGACATTTACTGTAATTAGTGTTGGATTATAGTGGCTTGTGATAACAATGGCTTGTGATAATAGAGTTCAGCCAGACAATTACAGAGAACTGGCTTTTGCGGCCCGTTTAGCTGCACAACTTGCTGTACCACAGTTGAAGGATGTCACTTTTCAGTCAGTCATCTGCAACTTTATGTGGAATTTGACAGAACAGTATGTCTGTTCTTTATAATTCTGTTATATTCTATTATGTTCTATACTGTTATATTCTTTTAATATAATTATATTATCCATCCATCCATTTTCCAATCTGCCTATGTAGGGTCTATTCTATTCTAAACTGCTTCTCCTATGTAGGGTATATTATATTATATTATATTATATTAACAATTGTCTATTTTTCAGGAATTTGGAAGCGATACAGGCAGCATTAAGCTACCCGGTAAGTCTACTTTTCCACATTAATTAATACACTATAAAAGTGTACTGTGAATGTATGCGGATAAAGCTGGATATATTTATAGTAGTTGCAAGTTGGAGTTATTAATTCATTTTGTGATATGGAAATCTGCAAGGTTTAAAATGATACATGTAATTTTTCAGTTAGAACAGGAATGAAGTATTTTATGCATTTGAGTATGTGTGTGTAATGCCAGCTAGTCCATGGATGATTGCTGTTAGCAGAGGATGATGGCTTTACTCACATGTGACTTGCATAAACATATTTTGGTATGAACACATTTACTTTGAAATGTCGCCCTGTGTTTCGGAACAAAGCAAATGATCTATGGATCTGAATATACCCTAACCATAACCTAACATAAACTTAAAGTGCTAAAAACAAGTTTGCGTAATGAGACCTAAAACTCATTTTGCTTTTTTCCACACAGTTCTCCAGACAGCAAATCTATCAAATGCTGACTTCCATTGTAACATCAGCTGCCACAACTACAACTGATTTAATACCAAAACTGTCTACGATAGTAGGAATGACTCCGTCTGCAGTTGTAAACTCAAACAGGCCATCAACGTCCTCATCCACTGAGGATAATCATCAGGACACATCAGAAAGACCAGTGATCCTGAAGATGGAACAACTTCCATATGTGTATCCGCTTGAATCTCTTTTTGGGATCACGGTGGATGGTCTCCTCAGCAGCGCCGACTGCGATTTCAGCGACTCTCTGGGTAAAGACAACTCGCGTTCCTCTGAACTCGCTGGTATTGTGCTGGAGGAAGTTCTTCACCGGGTGAATGTGGTGATGCACAACAGCGTCCTGAAGATCAACGCAGCCTCGTCACCATGCTTCGTTTACTTCCGCCCCGACGATTCCTGCACTGATATTGGGGAGTTACTGATCAGTGGTGTCATCCAAAAGCTGAGTGTTTTACATTGCCACATATCCCGCGCAGTGGCCACGACAGCCATCGGCACGGTTCTTGCAGCAATAGAAGGCAAACTCCCATACGCTCTCAGCCCGAGCCATTGGGTGGAGGTCACAAGTAATGTAATTGACTACATTGTGGAGGATGTCATTAGCGCCTGGTCAAACAATCCCACTGCAGCATCCAGAACATGGGAAACCGGGCCTGTCCCAGTTCTGAGGCCGACTTTTGAGTCATCTGAAGGAGGAATGTCACTCATCCTGCTGGAATCAAATCATCCCTCAGGCAGTGACAGGCCAAAGACCACCTTATTTGATTCACTGATGACCGCTCTATATATGTCGAAGTGCAGCGGTCACTTCAGCTCGCAGGACAATAGTTACGCAGCCTCAGAGCGTCTGCATCAAAGACTCGCAGATTTAATGAACTGCGTCTTACGATGCAAGACGAGTGTCTCGAAGGAGGTCAGAATGGCAGCTATAGACTTTCTCCATTATTTTGTGGAGGAACTTGTGCAGCGGCTTTTTGTGTCCTCCGCTTTCCCCTGCCCTGCGACGCTCCCTGAAAATACTCCAGTGATGCCCTTCATCATCAAAGAAGAGGATTTCGGTCTGAAAGTGGTGGATCATCTGACAGAGCTGCTGGTCAGTCAAGCTTTTGACTTGCTGGCAAAGAAATTTCCATCAAGTGAATCTGTCAAGACTGAACGGAAGAGTCACGACGTGTCAATACAGGAGGATCTACCAGAATTGACCTTCAGAGAGAAGTTAAAGATGATGAAATCAAACGTCCTTAAAAAGGTTATTTCTCCTCTGTATAAGTGTGCTACCTAATATCTCTGCTTATTTATTGAAATAAAGTCTGTTTTGTCATTTGTTTGCAGCTTAAGAATCCTTTCAGATCCAAGAAGGACAGCAAGAACAAGGATGATGATGAGGAAACAACAGAGGAGAGCGCAGATGGAAATACAACAGCTCCAGAACCCAAAAAGAAGAAGTCATTTTCAGGGTTCACGGTTTCCTTTTCCATGAAAATAAAGTATCTTACATGATTTTGGTCCGCAAGTGCATTATTTTTTTTTTGCCCCCAAAGAAAACATTGCTGCTTGAGTTTGCAACAGCAGGACTGGCTGCACAGGAAAGGCCGACGGAGCCCCTAAATATAGTCACTGAGATTCATTAGAGATCATTAGTGCTCTAATGTCCTTAGATATTAGCAAATGATGTAAAAGCAAGCCGCTGGGTTCATATATATAACATCTGCAGCATTATGGGCAATATGTCTATCTGCACCACTTGGAAGACCAAACAATGACGAACTTCAAAAGCAAAAAATGTAATTTTTCTAAGAGGAATAGTCCCTTGAAAATGTGAACACAACAAGAGCTTGTTATAGAAAAATGTCGGAGCACATGATTGTAATTTTGAAGCTCATAAATGACCTGCAAAACGACTGTCATGAGTCGTGAATTTGTATCTCACAATAATACAAAGATGTTTGACTACAGTCTAATGATCTGTCAGTCACCAGGTTGGTTTTGATACTTCTGGGTCATTTATCAGAAGTAGAACAAGGAAGAAGGACAACAGTCACCACCAGTGTTATGAATGACGAGTTATGAATGAATGAAACGCCTTTGTCCGCTTGAGAAACGGTGTCTTTTCCGCGGCTCGGTACGCTTTCAACTCGTTTCTTTTTTTTTGTCTCGAGTAAGACACTGTATGACATTAACGTTACATGATTTGACTGATTTTTACGTAGAAAGGGCGACAGCGCACCGCATTAAAAGAAATGACATAAGTGGTTTTCATAACCGCTGGCCAAATTAAAAAACAAAACTAAAATTAAATCATCTTTGAGAGCAAGGGGGCCCCCTGGTATTTCGGGGGCCCCACGCAGCTTGCGTACTTTGCGTATAGGGAGGATCGGCTCTGACCTGCCCACAGTGCCAAAACCACTTCCAAGTGCTTTGCTGACCATGATATTACTGTGCTTGATTGGCCAGCCAACATGCCTGACCTGAACCCCATATGGAATCTATGGTATATTTTCAAGAGAAAGATGAGAAACAGTTGATCCAACATTACAGACGAGCTGAAGGCCGCTATTAAAGCAGCACTATGTAACTTTTTCTGTGTTCAAAATACCCCTCTCCGGTATTTCTCTAAAGGACTTTTTGAACATGTTCATATTTGAATGGGCTGATGGAAACTACAGTGTGAAATTTCAATTTGTTAACATTACTTGAAAAAATCTTGCAAACTTGTTGCCTCCGAAAAATCTAGTTAAATCAGCACTATGTAAAGTGAGCCAAAATCATCACAATTAAAAGAACCAAAGACTTAAACTACTTCAGTCTGTGTGCATTGAATTTATTTAATACACGAGTTTCACAATTTGAGTTGAATTACTGAAATAAATGAACTTTTCCACGACATTCTAATTTATTGAGATGCACCTGTAGTGCTGCTTTAAAGAAACCTGTGCTTCAGCAGTGCCACAGATCGATTGCTTCCACGCCACACCTCACTGATGCTGGAATTGTGCTAAAGGACCCCCGACCAAATATTGAGTGCATAAATGAACATACTTTAAAGAACTTGAGATTTTCTGTTTTGAAAATCCTTTTTTTTTAAATTGATCTTAGGAAATATTCTAATATTTTGAGATAGGCTACTGGATTTTTGACTTTCATGAGCTGTAAGCTCTAATCATCAAAACTGAAACCAAAAAACTTTTGAAATGTTTTACGTTACATGTAGCCTAATGAATCTAGAAAATCTGAAGGTTTCACTTTTTGAAATAAGTTACAAAAAAAAAGAGAACTTTTCACGATATTCAATATTTTTTAGAGATGCACCTGTATAATTTAAATGCGGAAGGGAAAAAACGCTTTCATTTTAGTCAGGCACATTTTCAGACACCGCTGCTAACATTTTCCCAGCGTTCCTTGCGAGCGGCCTTTTCCTCTATTTTTGAGACGGAGTCAGGTGAGCGTTTTAGAGCTCGACTTTTAAAATGTGACATTTTTAGCCTTATATGATGTAAACTAAAGCACAATTTCTACCAGTATTAATAAAAACAGACCTGAAGTCCATAATCCGCAGAGTTGTGCCTCGTGCGGCATAAGATGCTTTAGATTTTGAACGGATTGTGGGATGTTTGTTTGCCTCAGGCTAAACTTATCCGGAGCTCATTTCTCCGCAGTGCTGTCAAAACACATTTTAGTTGATAATTTTTGTTGGTTTCTGCTCATACGCTTGTTTTGAAGACGTAGTAACAACTATGAGCTACGTATAACCTAGTATAAGAACAACAGCCTAGCGTTGAGGAAGATAAACACGCAGCAGCTCCGTGGAGAAGATGTAGCCATTGTATATGTGTTACATAGTTCTAGAAACAATACGGGACTGTATATTTATTGCTCCTCAGACTAAAGGTTTTCGTATTTTTTTCTCATATTAGGTTTATTTGACCTGGTCAAAGCATCATCATGCCAGGAAGGTAAGACATAAAAGCTGTCACAAATATAATCTGAATTGATGTGTAGTTCAGTGTGATAACAGGAATGCATTTCATATTATAAAGCCATTTAACACTACAATACTTTACTGAAAAAGCAGTTGTACAAACATTGTCATCTAACTGATAGTTTATACATTTTAGCAATTAAAGGCTTTTTAGTGTGATTGTAAAAAATCTTTTGCTATATATAAGATATTACAATTTCATCTTACTTTTTGGTCATAGAAATATCAAATTTTTGATTCGTTTGTGCCTCTAGATAAAGTTGTATTTCCCCCCTCATTCTTCAGCTTGAGCTTGATATTCTCACTGTATCTTTCTTTATGAGCCACAAATGCTGATGTATCAAATATGATTAAAACAAACAAGAATTGAACGTTTTTCTTTTATATATATATATATATATATATATATAAAAAAGGTGTTTGACTATTATGTGTCAGACTTTACGGGGTTAAATGTTGCTTGGCTCATGCATATAGCTGAAGATAAATAAATCGTTTTTACATTGTGTCTCTTTTAGGTTGTGGAGCAAGGCCATCTTTGCTGGCTACAAGCGTGGCCTGAGGAACCAGCGTGAGCACACTGCTCTGCTCAAGCTGGAGGGAGTCTACAACCGCGATGAGGTCGACTTCTACCTGGGCAAGCGTTGTGCCTACGTCTACAAGGCAAAAAAGTAAGTGATGCACAGTGAAGTCTTTATGGGACGAGTGACGTGTGTGAGGAAAGACTTGAGTCTGCGCTGCTGTCAGTAATATGTTTGTCATGTTTTTGCTGTTATGGCACCACATTGAGTTTCTTTGGTATTTTTCCAAAATGCATTTTTTTTAATCTAATATGTTGAACCTTCATAATCAATCTGTTTTTTATTTTTTGGCCATCATTGGCATTCAGCTCATTGAATGTTATGTTTCATGGCAATGAATGATGGTTCAATGGTTATGAATGGCTTCTGTGTTGACATTAATAGACAGTTTGAATGTAATTGTGGAACATATTTTGCATGCAGAGACATGTTTCGTCATTTCTATCGATGGTCTTGTTTGGGTTCTGTCCATAGCTGGCACTGTTATTTAAAGTGAGTTTTGTATGTTGTCTATAGGAACACCGCAACACCTGGCGGTAAACCCAACAAGACGCGCGTCATCTGGGGTAAAGTCACACGGGCTCATGGAAACAGTGGAATGGTTCGTGCCAAGTTCAAGAGCAACCTTCCAGCGAAGGCTATCGGGCACAGGATTCGTGTGGTAAGGGTCTTAAAGTTTCTTTCAAATATCAATGTTTGTCCCTGAAATGCGTACTTGCTAGTCTAACAGACTTGTAAGGCTGGTTATATTTTGTGTTTGCTAGTGTGTTTTGTCCGTTTTCATTTGTCCAGTATATGCATGCTTTTGTAATGTGGCAGTGACAAAAAAAATTATTCGTGCTGGTTTAACAATTTCGCCAAAGGTCTTGCTGATGTTGCTCTTAGTGCTACCTTGTAAGTTTTAATCAAGTTTGTCTGTTGGCATTTTAGCAAGTAATTTAACATTGTGGTGGTCTCTTGAGCTTTATTGTGAAGTTTTGTCATTGAAGGTGTATTAATTGATGATATTCCTGCAGTGAAATGTGTATCAGAAACTGCATTTCCTCCAAAGTTACGCTAGAAAGGAGGACAAACAATTCTGAGTTCACTGATTGCAAGAACCGTGTCACTAGAGCAACTTGGTCTTGTACTTTTGCTTTCCTCAGGGTCACGGTGGGGTTTTGTAGGTCTCTCACATGTGGCAACACACCTGACAAGAGCTTTTGGAAGATCCTGTCGTATTTGATGTATGCCAGGGGTGTCCAAACTTGGTTCTGGAGGGCCTCTGTCCTGCAGAGTTTAGCTCCAACTTGCCACAGCACACCTGCCTGGAAGTTTCTTGTGTGCCTAGTAAAACCTTGATTGGCTGGTTCAGGTGTTAAATGAAAAGTCTGCAGGACAGTGTCCCTCCAGGCGCAGGATTGGACAGCCCTGATGTAGGATGTTTGGGCACAAATGCATTCCCTTGTACTTTACAATCTGCTTCAAGTTTAAAAAGGGGGGGATGTACAGTTGTTGATGCTGTAAATTTATTAATTTGAATGCCATGTTGACTGTCAGTATGTTTGTGGCAAACTATATGAAATGCTTCATTTCCAAAAAAAAGCTTGCAAGTATTCAACAATTAACAAATTTTTTGCTTTTGTTTTTCAGATGCTGTACCCATCTCGTGTGTAACCTGCTTTTGTGTACAGACAATAAAAAATTGGTCCAAAAAGTTGCCTGTCTGATCTTCCTTCAGTATGCAAAGCATAGTTTTTGCATCCACTTTGAAATCTTGCTAGCTTTTGCAATTTTCTGCCCAGTTTTTTTTTTTTTTTTTCCAGTAGAGCGATGTCTGAGAATTGTAGTGTTTGTATCGAGCCAGATTAGCAGAGGAACTGATGCTCCAGTTGAACCATCTGTAGAAGAACTGAAAAGAGCACAATTAAGGGAAATTACAGGTTTCATCATTAACACTTCCTTACTCAACACTGGAGCACTTACCAGAACATTTTGTCTGGGTTTAATGTAGATCCAGGATACAGAGAAAGGACATTTGACTTTATGGTAAGTAATAGCAACTGCTGAGCTTGTAAGAAACCCCATGCAGTGACATTTAACTGCCTTCATTTGACTAAATTAATTAGCGTAGTCAAACTAGAGTGTAAGTGAGTTTTATACATTGAGTGTACAGTGCATAAGATGAGTCTAGTGACACTGTCAGTTATCCACATAATAAATATATAAATATTTTTAAAAAAAAGGTGTCCCGTGATGTTGGCCAGACAAACGTGGCATGTTTCTAACGTTAATATTTATATCTTGAAAATAAAATAGTTTTTTAAAGTGAAGCTGGTAAGTGACATTAGTAAAATATGTCTTGTAACACTTATACAATGAGATAGGAAGTTATTGTAATTCCAGCTACTTGCCTGTTGTGTATGTATATGTAATAGATTAGTAGCAGGTATTAGATTGATTTGTTTAAAGTGTGTGTGTGTGTATATATATATATATATATTACTAGATAGACACGCACATTCGCTTTACGTAATGAATCTACAATGATTTGAGTTCATTTATAATGTAACGTTTTGTTGAAATAACTTGCAGCTAATGTATAATTATATGGATAATAAACTTATTTAATATATACTGATTTTGAATAATTTATGGCTGAATGTAGAGAGGAAATGCATGGATATATTTTTGTGTTTCTACATAATTGCGCTCTGAGCGGGTTAGTATGCGTCCGGTGTAGTTTCCGATGAAACAGTGAAACGCGAGGAATAATATCCACAGAATTTTGCAGAATCATCATCGCACTGTACTTTGTGGAATTGTAAAATTCCACTCCAGAGCCTCGCGCTTATTACCACACTGCAATACTAGTGTTTGACTGCAGAGGCTGCGCGTCGCCTTCAGTCGCGCGATAAGCCCCGCCCACTAACAGAACTCTGACGCATTCACCGGGAAGTGAATTGTGGGAAACGTAGTTCCACTAAAATGGGCACTTTAAACGATGTGAACTTGTAGCGAACGCTCTTTACACTACATTTCCCATAACGGCGTCCATCTGAGTCCTTCAAATAGCTTGTTTAAAACGAAGTTGTTTTGCTCCATCCGCTGTAGAAGATCCGCAGACCAACTAGACGAACAGGTATCTGCTGCAGTGGACGTTTTTTTAATCTTTTGTTTGATATGTAAAATAAGATTTATTGCAGTATAATTTGCATGCTACACATTTGTAATTCTGACACCATCATTTAAAAATGTTTTAAACGGTTTCTGATTTTAGCATCATTTGACATGTCATGGTAAATTATTACATTGACTTTTAAGAAGATTAAGCAAACAACCAAAACGCATCTTTCATGTGAATAAGCGCTAACGTTACTGCGATGGACATCGTCTTTCTCGGTGCGTTATATCCTGATGTAGGTGACATCTATTGTCTCAGTAACGTTACAAGTCTGATGATATGCTCTTGTTTAGACGGGATTGAAACGCATTTGTGCAGCTCGTATTATTTTTGATGCGTGATGTTTAATTATAGTCCAGATCTGGATACATATATGCCACAGAATTAAGTGGGAAATTATTATCCCAAAAAAAACCATCAATGGCATTATTACAATAAAAATGTGATTATATAAGATGTGCTCTTTGCCATAATAAAACACAGATCAGTTTGGGTAATGTTAAGTGTATATCTCCCCGTGGTTTGTTTAATCTAAAAAAGCCTGTAACGTTAGATGTCCCTGAATGAAACCCGTGTGGTGTGTTGTTTTCAATCTTCTTTTTGGGAACTGGTTGTTCTCTTCTGGTTAGAGGAGATGTGGGGCCTATCACACTCAAATAAACACGAGAAAGACTTCAAGCTTTAACCAGTGCTATCCAGTGTCATCTAATGTAGATATAATTTGTGTTTTTATTGTGTCTTCCGAGATTGTAGCTATTAGTCAAAGTGTAATAGTGTATTCGCCAGATAAATGCCGCACTCTCGCTATACAGATCAATATATTAATGTGTATGTTCATTTACGACAGCATCATATCTGTCCGGTAATGTCAAAATACTGGCCGTGTGTCAAAAGCTAGTGAGCATAGTCAACATCAATAGTACACTATTAGTAGCAACATTTTTTGGTCAATGCAGGCGCGTGAATCACGTGAACCATGAAAAGAACATGTTCGGGCATACCGCATAAAAGAAAGAAATAATAAACTGTATTTTGCCTAAAGTAACTGAAGTAAGTAAGTAACTGAAAGACCACTGAGATGTTTTGCATTATTACATACAGTTGAGCACATTTTCCCCTCACTTTCATTACCGTAATGCAATAAAAGCTCATTCTCATTACTAAAAGTAAGTATAAATATGTAAATAAATACTATAAGTCTTACTATAATATATTTATTTTCTCTAGTGCAGTAAAAACGGCTAAGAATGATAATTTTAGGAGAAAATTCAGAATAATAAATATGTATTGTAAGTATTTATACATAAGTATAGTATTTGTTGTATTGCCGTTCATCGATGCTTATGTAAATTACATTAATTATATTATTTTAATGTATTTATTTACCTCAACACTGTAAAAATGGCTAATGGGAATTGCAAAATGTTTAGATGCATTACAGTCATGATAATTTGGGGTGAAAATTTGGTTAGTTGTCATGAAAATATTATATCTTTATGGTCCTTTTCATTTGATTTTGTAAAATTCATCAAGAATGTATGTAGTCTGGCCAAATGATGGCCATAAATGCTATTTAGGTAGGCAGCTCACTAGGTTTTGAGACAACTGAAAGTGCCTACTAAAAATTGTAAGTTTGTCCATGCAGTCCATATGTCCATTATTTGTCTACAACAATACCATCTTGTCCGACTTCAAAGGTAGGCTTAAATGGGATAAAATGGGATTTGCGCATATAATGTGCTCAGTCGATACTGACTAAATAAGAGTAACATTTCCATTCATGTTAACCCGTCTCTTCTCTCATCAGTTCAGATTTGGAGACTTTGACAAGATCAAGCTCAGAGAAGAAGCAACAAAGGCGCTCCTATGTTGGTAAAAGAAGATGAAAGGACATGATTTGGGAAAGGACTGTCTGGCATCTGGTTCTGCGTACAGGGCCGTACCGTCCAGAGAGACCCTCCCCGGACCTTGAATCTACAATGATTTGAGTTCATTTATAATGTAACGTTTTGTTGAAATAACTTGCAGCTAATGTATAATTATATGGATAATAAACTTATTTAATATATACTGATATTTTGAATAATTTATGGCTGAATGTAGGGAGGAAATGCATGGATATATTTTTGTTTCTACATAATTGCGCTCTGAGCGGGTTAGTATGCGTCCGGTGTAGTTTCCGATGAAACAGTGAAACGCGAGGAATAATATCCGCATATTTTGCAGAATCATCATCGCACTGTACTTTGTGGAATTGTAAAATTCCACTCCAGAGCCTCGCGCTTATTACCATACTGCAATACTAGTGTTTGACTGCAGAGGCTGCGCGTCGCTTTCAGTCGCGCGATAAGCCCCGCCCACTAACAGTGGCATCTGGTTCTGCGTACAGGGCCGTACCGTCCAGAGAGACCCTCCCCGGACCTGAAGCGGACCATTACGAGTTGTCTAAATTGCAGGTTAGTCCATCATTATCGTGGCATGTCATTTCTTAGTGTTTTCAGATTTGTGATTAGACATCAAATGTTTGAGTTCTACTTCTTGTTCAGCATCCACTCATACTACAAAACACCATACAAATACTCAACTCTTAAACTCTTATAAATGGGAATCATTTCTTATTCAAGCCAAGGATGGTAAAGATAAAGTTGTAATAATCGTTCTAATTCTGTGAGAATAGGCAAGTTCACACCACAGCTGAAGAAGAACAATATCATTGAAATCCCTTTCAGAACGTTTTTTCCAGATGATGAACAAGAAAAACATTGACAGCCAATCAGAATCCATTTCTGATTGGCATTTAAAGCAGCAGACAACAAAACTGCACCGTGCTTATAATAAACAGAGCTTTATCATACATTGGTGTGGACGCTTATATAGTTATTGTTATAGTTATCATTATTGGTGTGAATGGGCCTTTTTTTTATAAATCATTCTATTTACAAAAATGCTGCAACTGAATGGTTTTAATGACGTTTTTATTATTGCTTCATGAACCTCAGCATTATTTTTTTGTGGATGTGGACAAAACTCATTATTACATGTACTGCTCTTTGCCTTATTGAGAGGTATTAAAGGGATAGTTCTCCCAAAAATGAAAATTCTGTCATTAATTACTCCCCCTCATGTCGTTCCAAACCCGTAAGACCTTCGTTCATCTTCGGAACACAAATTAAGATATTTTTGATGAAATCTGAGCGCTCTCTGACCCTCTGTAGACAGCAATGATATTACCACGATCAACGCACAGAAACGTAGCAAGGACATCGGTAAAATAGTCCATGTGCCATCAGGGGTTCAACCGTAATTTTACGAAGCTACGAGAATACTTTTTGTGCGCAAAGAAAACCGTAATAACATAATTTATTCAGAGTTCTTCTCCCTGAGTTACCGTCTTCCGCCATTTTGGAGAGTACCTCAGAATGTAATTAACGTAATCAGTGTTGTTTATGTTCAGCATGCGCGCACTGTCTACTAACGTAAACAACGCTGATTACGTTCAGGGAAAGCGCGCGCATGCTGAACGTAAACAACGC